GAGAAAGACAGAGAAAAGGAAAGTGAGAAAGGTGAGGAAGCGCTCCCCAGTAGGGAAGGTCATGATGAAATCCCTTCTTTTCTTGGGATCTTGGGCACGCATGTGTACATGCCCGGCACATTCTTTTGAGTTGCCAGGTCTGGGATTTGAGCCACATGATTGGCCATGTGAGAGCTAGCCACCTTAACAAGCATGCCACCAGTTGGCACAGAAAATACTTTTTTAAAACAAGAAATAATGAAAATCTACCTGACACCAACAGATGTAGCCACGAGATCTGAAATAAAACAGTGAAGTGGTTTGCTGAGTAACTGGAGCCTTTGTTTACAGGTTGACCTTCAAGTAATGAATTATACAGTAAAAGTGTTCATCTAATTGGGATTTACGTTAGCAAGTTAACTAGATAACCTTCGTAAAGACAGCCAGGTTACAATGGGCTAGAATGGCCATCTTTCTTCAGGGTACCTTTGAATTACTGAAAACAGATTGCACATGCACGTGAACATCAACACTTTAAAGAATTCATATGAGGAGTAGTAACAATAATCACTGTTTTTATATGTAATGTGACTTTATTTGATATTCTTGCTGTTGTTCACCAGAAGAGGGTGTGTATGCTTGCTAAAGAGAAAGAAGAGACAGAGAGAGGACATGGTCACACCGTTTTATCCTCCTTCTCTATCCTGTCGGAATTTTGAGCACACAAGTACACACTCCCAGTGTGTTTCCCAAGCCACGGCGTCTGGGATCCAAACCATGATTGGTCATGTGGGATCTGGCTTCACTGAATCCCCAGGCTATGGGGTGGTCTGCTTTACTTGATTTTTTTGAGAGGTTTTTGCTATAGGGCGAGTGCGCTCACCAGAAAGACAGAGAAACAGACAAAAAGCGAGAAATCATCCCCCAGGGGCGATGGCCACGCTGCAACCCCTTCTCCTCCATTCTCCTTTAAGGATCTTGGACACACATGCACATGAGTCCAGCGTGAGTTTAAGCCACAGGGTCTGGGACTCGAACTGCGGTAGACTACATGGGAGTTCAGTGACATAACCATTACACCATCTGCTGGTCCCTGCTTCACTTGATTTTAATAGTTCCTCTGTGATGTAGATGGGGCAGGTAGTACTCTTGGTTTCTTTTCCCAGATTCAGCTCCCAAGGCTGTGGGCATCCATTCAGCTCCCAAGGCTGTGGGCATCCAGTGACTGCTCACCTCTGCTGGGCTTGCTCCCAGGCAAGGCACAAAACAGGCCCATGTGTCCCCACAGTGCTTTGTCCTGCCATATGACAAAGCCACACCAATAACGAAATTCTCACCTCAAATCAATATTGAGAGCCCTCGAGTGAGAGTGTGTGTAGAGTGAAGGTAAAAGGATGAAAGCGTGTCGAGAACAAGAGTGAGGGAAAATGGAACCAGATGAAGGGGTGGAAGGGAGGAGAGATGGGGCTCCCAGGTAATAGGGTGAGCGTCTTGTTGCCACAGCCTGTACATATCGGGACACAAAGTATACACACGCCACATCATCTTCCTGGAGCTGTTTTTGATGCTGCTGTTCCTTACTGGTTTCCATTCTTTGGCTTGTTTCTTTAGCCCTTCCTTCTTCTTTCCTTTCTTTTATTCAAATAAATGTTTCTCTGCAGAATCCAGTTTTATGTATGGATTGTAAATAATTTCAGTTTTAGAAAGCCACCTTAAAACTAGGGGGGCCATCCAGTGGGGTGGTATGGCGGTTAGGGAGGCTAGATTCCACACCGCTGAGTGTAAAGTTTGAGTCCCGGACCCAGAGCTTGAGAAACTTGCTGGACACAGGTGCGTGTGTGCCCCACTTCCCTAAAAGAGAGATGGAGGAGAAGGGATTGTGGTGTGACCATCCCCTTGTAAAGTTTTCTCACCCTCCCACCTCTGATGAGCACTCAAGCCCTCTAGAAAATTAAACAACAAAAATAAAAACCCTTCTATATTTATTAAACATCCCCCCTTGTTTAAATGTTTATTATTATATTTGTGAGATTCCTCAATGATCAGAGAACATACACTTACTTTTTACTCTGGGGATAGAAAAGTTTAACTTTGTTACATTCATCAACAGTCCACTGACTTCCCAGTTCTAAAGTAAACTTTTCAGTATAAATGTCACTCCAGTGTACCTGGTTCTGTGTTAGAAAAACCAGGATACTTGTATTTGGTACAATCGACCTCTTAGATTTAATGCTAACCTACAATGGAATTTTTATGAGCAGTTTTATTTTTCCTCTGCCTTGATTTTTCCATTACCAAAAATCAGGTAATGTTGCCTTTGCTCCTGTTAAATTCACAAAATATTCTGAAATATAACTTTGAGGATGAATAATTCTACAAAAATAGGCTCATTCTATTTGTACTGTCTGAATTGGTTCTATGTTCATTCAATTAAAACTCAAATGTCTAATAGAGTTTGAATACCTCTCCTGGTGGTATTCTTTAGATCTCCACATTACTATTGGGTTTTAGCACTGTAATTCTAGCAATTCTAATTCCTTAATTGGTTGCTTTTTTAGGGGAGAATTTCCTTTCATTAGGGCATGTAAAAGTGCCTTAGGTACATGTCTTTTACCTTGTGGGAAAAAGTAGAAGTGATAATAGCTTACAATCCAACCATTAGATTGTGGAACTCAGTGATTCACAATATTGTTGAGGTTATTAGCTCAGGTCCAGTTTTAGCTCTTCCACTGTGTGGTTGTGTGATTTTCAACAAGTTACCAGTTTTCTGTGGACTTTTGGTTTCCTAATTTCTAATATTTGGAGATGGGAGTAGGTAGGTGGTTTCAATTCAGTTCAAGAGTTTTTGTTTTATTTATTTTTTGTTTTGTTTTTTAAAATTACCCTTGCACAGAGCTTCCTGATGTAAACTAGATCAGGTAAAGCTATCCTAACTGCTTTGGGGATGAGGGAAGCAGGAACCTCATCCTAAGTGTATCAAGTGTACCCAAGTAACACAATGTGAAAGTCACTAGGCTAAATAATTTTAAAGACTCTTAAAATTTTACCTGTGTAAATATATTGATTTCTATCTTTCAGTAGGACTAATCTAATTATTTCAGTAGGGGAATCTCTGCCTGCTTCAAAACTCCAAGTTGTTACCAATCACCAAGAATATATATATTTTCTATCCCGTGTTTAGTCCTTCTGACCAAAGGATCAGAAGAATACAGACTGGGCACTTTCGTTAGCATGAAGGAACAATGGGACTCAGTATTTTACAGTTTTAAAAGTCATTACAGGGCAGACCTCAGAGCCTAGAGATTAAGGGAGCCAATCCCTATGGTCAACAGCAGCTTAAATCATGGGCTCAGCATCTCAAAAATCATGCCTGACAGGGCCAACAGGTGGCGTGCAGGTGAAGGTGCTGGGTCCCACATGGCTGACTTCATGGTTTGAGCCTTAGACCCAATAGCTTGAAAATCACACTGGGTCTGTGTATTCATGCCCCAAATCCCAAGAAGCGAGTAGAGAAGAGAGGATTGAAGCATGGCCATGCCCCTTTGGGGATGAATATTCACTTTCCCTCTGTCTGTCTCTGTCTCTCTTTGGTTGGTGCACACGTACAGTAAAGCAAAACAAAACAAAACAAAACCAGAATAACACATGTAACGTGAGTGTATGCATGCCCCAAGTCCCAAAAATATGGAGAAATGGAGGAGAAAAGATTGATGCATAACCACACCCCATTAGGGAGGGCTCTCTTGGTCCCTCTGTCTCTCTCTGGGGAGTGCACACCTTCTGGGAATGGGGGAAGAGAGTCATCATCATATAACCTTGTACATAAATTAGATTGCTCTCACAGCTGCATAAATGGCAAGAAGAAGAGGCATTTTAGCTCTTCCTTTTTTCAGTTTTGAGTAATTTATATAAATGTATGTTTGCCTAAACATTCATTTACTTAACTTACACTTGCTCCTACCTAGGCTGAATTATAGTCCAGCCTCACAAAAGGGAGATTTAAGGCTTCTTCCCTTTCAAATACCAGTGGTTATTATCTACCCAAACAAAAAAAGGAAACCATAACAAATTAAAAAATAAAAAACTTTGCCAAGGCTGTGTGTGTGTGTGTGTGTGTGTGTGCGTGTGTGTGCGTGTGTGTGTGTGTGTGTGTGCGTGTGCAGCTGGAGTATTTCTTAGAGGAAAAAAGGAGATATAACATATAGGCAGGTTGAGGATCTGGACTACATTGTAGCTTTAAAAAGGATTCATTTTCTTTGAAATTCTGTGACTTTACAGGACACTTGGCACATTTTGTAAGTATAACGAATGCTTAAACATCAATATGATGGGGCCAGCTGGTGGTGTGGTGGTGAAGGCAGCTGGATCTCGCATAGCTGACTATGTGGTTTGAGTCTCAGACACAGCGGCTTGAAAAATATACCAGGTATATGCGCATGTGTGCCCAAAATCCCAAGAGAAGAATGGAGTAAAAAGGATTGAAATCTTAACATCACCTCTGGGGGTATTTTCTCACTCTCTTTTTCTTTCTCTCTGACTCTTCTCAGCAAGTGCCCATGCCCTCTAGCAAATTAAAAAAGAAAAAAAAATCAGTATGATCAGGCCAACAGGTGGCATGATGGTTAAGGCACTTGAATCTCATGTGGCCTAGTGTGGCATGAGTCCTGGACATGGTGGCTTACCTTCCCACTTTTTCTCTTTATTTCTCTTGTCTCTTTCCTATGCGCATGTGCCCCATAGGAAAAAAAGAAAGATAAATAAAATTAAATAAATAATTCTAAAAAAAATCAACATGATTAAGATGACGGAGTTAATAGCCATGTCCTAATTTGGGATTTCAAACTAAATTCCCCTCATGTTCCACCCTCCCAGAGTCATTAGAAAACGGAGGATGGTTAAAAATCTGTGTTGACCCTCTCTGTACTATTTGCAGTTCACTCTGGGTAAACTTCTAGCAGCATATGCTGTGTATCTGTTTCTTACACTTATGTGCTGACGATGCATGAAATAAAATATTTCAGATCCTTCAGAGAAACTCTACAGCCTAACCTCAGAAGAGCTGCCAGCCTCCAACGACCACTTGCTGAATATGAGTCAGGCTTCCACAGATTTGCTTAAAACCTCACACATGAGGGGTCCCTGTGGGATTGAGGAATTGAGGTAAGCGAAGCCAGCACTTTATATATAACGATAGCGCAGAGTAACATTTTGACAAGTCCCAACCAGTTATCTTAGTTAGACACAAGCCAATGGTCCTCATATGTGTTCCTTAGATGACTGTTCTCCGTAACAAGTTTCCTGATCTTGTATCAAGATTTAGTAAAAGACTTATAAAATTGTTACTTTAATATGAAGAGATAGTTCTCCCCTGTACAAGGTATTATCGTAAAAGTGGAAAAGTATTAGGAGTATAATAATCTATAAGTATTTCTTTTTATGTTGAAAAACATTTGCCTTACTTGAAGTAATTAACCTAATATATTTCAATATTTTGCATTAATAGAACCTTAAAATGAAGAATAAAGTTTTTGAATAGAATATTGAGGAGTTTCTTTCTTGAAATGAGTCTGTATGATTCAAATACCATATTTTGACTTGTATGATTGCATTCTTTTCTCATATAAGTTGTTAACATTTAGGAGTGGTGATCGTATATAAGGAATGCAGATTATTAATAAATACCTTATAAAAACAGCTTCTTGTGCCAGTCTATTACTAGGATTCCTTGAAGGAAAGCTCCTTCAGGAAAGACTAAAATAAAAGTTTCTTGATTTTAAAATTGCTTTAATTGATAAAAAAATCAACATGATTAAGATGACGGAGTTAATAGCCATGTCCTAATTTGGGATTTCAAACTAAATTCCCCTCATGTTCCACCCTCCCAGAGTCATTAGAAAACGGAGGATGGTTAAAAATCTGTGTTGACCCTCTCTGTACTATTTGCAGTTCACTCTGGGTAAACTTCTAGCAGCATATGCTGTGTATCTGTTTCTTACACTTATGTGCTGACGATGCATGAAATAAAATATTTCAGATCCTTCAGAGAAACTCTACAGCCTAACCTCAGAAGAGCTGCCAGCCTCCAACGACCACTTGCTGAATATGAGTCAGGCTTCCACAGATTTGCTTAAAACCTCACACATGAGGGGTCCCTGTGGGATTGAGGAATTGAGGTAAGCGAAGCCAGCACTTTATATATAACGATAGCGCAGAGTAACATTTTGACAAGTCCCAACCAGTTATCTTAGTTAGACACAAGCCAATGGTCCTCATATGTGTTCCTTAGATGACTGTTCTCCGTAACAAGTTTCCTGATCTTGTATCAAGATTTAGTAAAAGACTTATAAAATTGTTACTTTAATATGAAGAGATAGTTCTCCCCTGTACAAGGTATTATCGTAAAAGTGGAAAAGTATTAGGAGTATAATAATCTATAAGTATTTCTTTTTATGTTGAAAAACATTTGCCTTACTTGAAGTAATTAACCTAATATATTTCAATATTTTGCATTAATAGAACCTTAAAATGAAGAATAAAGTTTTTGAATAGAATATTGAGGAGTTTCTTTCTTGAAATGAGTCTGTATGATTCAAATACCATATTTTGACTTGTATGATTGCATTCTTTTCTCATATAAGTTGTTAACATTTAGGAGTGGTGATCGTATATAAGGAATGCAGATTATTAATAAATACCTTATAAAAACAGCTTCTTGTGCCAGTCTATTACTAGGATTCCTTGAAGGAAAGCTCCTTCAGGAAAGACTAAAATAAAAGTTTCTTGATTTTAAAATTGCTTTAATTGATTTGCAGTCTAATATTGCAGTAAAAGAGTATCAAGAGTTTGTTACACTTCTTTCTAAGGAGGACATTACTTACTTGTAATTTTGCATTTCTAATACCATTTAAGTTTAAGAAAAAGGATCAATATAAGGTTGCTATTTTTTTCTCTGTACAAGTAATTGAAAACAAACAACCTACATATGTTCTTACATTTCCCAGAAGAAAGGACATTTAACATGAATGATACAGGAGAACCTATTAAGAATACAAACTAAAAATGTCACTAACTTGTCCTTATATTCTCTTTTGTTTTTTGACCAAAGTTTTATCACAGATTTACTCCGGTGCACACACTGGAGTTTATGAAGTACTGATTTAGCCTGTGTTGGGCATAAGAAAACAATCCTAAGAACAGCTATATCCTTCACAGCATCAAGTATTTTATATTATTTAGTGGCATACCTGGGCTGAAAATCTAAATAACTCAGTACCAAAATATCTGAATTATGTAGGCTCCCCTCTGTTCTCCCACACTACCTGTGTTCCCAAACCTCAGATACACAGCCTCTGGAGCTCACACCAACCCTCCCACCCCATCATAAAATGCAACAAAATAAAACAACATGTAATTGTTGTCATTAATTTCAGCTCTGGCATATGTTGACTGGCTACCCACACCATCCTAATTTATGTACACAAAAGAGGTGCTTTATCTGGCAGTCTATTCATTGGGATTCTATTAAATAGCCAATGTAATGATGAATGTTCTTAATGATGACCTCGAGGCTCTGCACGTTTCTGAAGTGCCTTCTGAATCACCAATGGAAGACACAACCAGAGACCGTAAAATCTCTCCTAGGTTCCCACTGTGGTTTTATTTCTTGAGAGAGGGAGAACGATGAGAATTCCTCATTAAAAGGAGGCTTAGTATATTGGCCATGCTGAAAATGATGGCCCCAGTCTGATCCAGCTAGCTCTTCATGTCTGTCTGCCTGCAATGACGTCAATGTATGCAGTATTGATTAGAAGATAAATGAAGAGTTGAAATGTGGTTCTGTATATTGTGTATTGATCTTTTAATGTATTTCAGCTCTTCTGGAAAAGACACTGAAATTCAGTCCTTGCTGTCACTTTCTGAGAGCAGTACAGATGAGGAAGAAGAAGATTTTCTTGACAAGCAACATGTCAGCACACTACCATGGTCAAAGAGTACTTAATGATCATTCATTCACTACTTTTTATATTTTGTAGCACACTAAGGCAAATAGCTGAAAAAAGCAACCAGTGAGTGATTACCTGTCCAGGTGCCGGAGATTTTGATTATTAATGTCTCTGTTTTTTCAAGGCTTACAAACTAATAAAAGTTAGTGAAAATATAAGTTTAAGGACTTTCTACTTTCAAATGATTCTTTTTATGTTGAACACTAATCTGTACTGCATATTATGGGAATAACGTTTGATGAATGTTAATAAGTAACAAGTATAACTATGTCTATAATATCTACATAGGATATAACATGATTATATGTAACGTAATATGTATTTCAATTATATTATAAATAATTACGTCATTAACAAGCGTGCAAATTTGATTCAAGTCACAGTAATTAGTATCATCAACTGAGCTTGTCATTGTTTTTTTTTTTTTTCTGTTAGGATTTTTGACATTTATGGAAGTGCTGGTAGCTTCGAAAGTCGATTCTAGAAGAAAGAGGACTCAAAATAAAGCGAACGTAATACTTACCATACTCTTTGCTTGTAAAACACAGAAAGTACTGTCAAGCATCTTATTTTGGGATAGTTAATGGAATGGCTAATTTTGTACATTCACTTGGCTCGTCTATCCAGATATTTGGTCAAATGTTATTCTATATGTTCTGCAAAGGTGTTTTTTGGATGAGATTCATGTTTAAATCAGTAGGTGTTGAGTAAAGAAGATTACTCTCTGTGACATGGTTGGGCCTCATCTTTAGAGTTAGTGGGGATTCTGCTTTCACACTGCTTTTGGGCTCAAGCACAAACACCAGATCTTCCCTGTCTCCAGCCTGTTGCATGCACTGCCTTGCAAACTTGGACTTCTAGCCACACAGATGCAAGAGCCAGTTTCTTATAACACATTTCTCTCTCTTTCTCTCTCTCTCTCCACACACACACACACACACACACACACACACACACACACACACACACACTGGCTGTTTCTCTGTAGAACCCTAGTAAATCTTCTTTGAAGGACTGCTATGATTGTAAAAGGAAATAACACGTGTGGAGGTGTTTTACTGGTGTCAGATAATAGCAGATCCCGGAATTCGTGAGTGTCCAAGGTTTTACATAATTTTATAATTTGGGGGTTAAGAAAGAGTGGAGAAGACAAAGGAGGACCTAAAAGACATAAGAAGGTAGTTTTGTGGTTGTCGCTTCATGACAACCCATTAGAACAATGTCCCTGATTGCTGCTGACCTATTAGAACAATCTCTCTAAAGTTTGGCTGTGATTTCACCTGGCTGTGGTTTCATGCCTTGCTATGCAAACTCTGTCTTCTCTGTGATTCTGGGTAGTTACTTCTTATGCAAGATGAATAATTGTTTCAGTGTAAATTTATCTTTAATATTTTCTATGGAATCAATAAATTTTATTGGAACCCACCCACATCATCTACTAAGAGGATAGAAAATCATGATAAGGAGATCAACAGCCTTTTCTATGTCATTTAATATATAAAATGCCCTTTATCGAAAGTGATCAACATAAGTGGATAATAGGAATGAAGAAAACAAGTCAGAATTATTATCAGAATAAAGTGTCACAGATGAAAGAAATATTTTTTACAAAGAGTATAACTCCTTTGCAATTTTTACTGACCTCTTAATACTCCCTCTATTACAATCCCTCAGAAAGATGACAGTGAGTCACCTTTGGGTCTTCATTATTTGTGTGAAAAACCCTTTTGGCATTTTGTCACAGGACAAAATGGCTTTCTGAATTTTAGTATCTATGGTTAAAATGAGAATTTTTTTTTCATTGATTAATATGGGGAAAATGTTATTTTTTCTTTTTGTTATAATTAAAAGAATTCTTATCCTTACCCTCCTTTGCTCTAAAACAACATGTTTCTTTCCCTTAGAAAGAACAAAGGACAAAGTTTTCCTCTGGGTATCATTTACAAAACTCTAGTGATTTTTTTTCTTTTCTTTTTTTATATATTTTTTAAGGTTTTTGCCGTAGGGAATGTTTTTGTCAGAGAAAGTGGAGGGAGATGTCATCCTATCCTTGTTAAGGAAGGACGGGCCACTATTTCTTTTATGTATTCAGCCATAACTTAAGTCTTTCATGAACTGGCTCAGAAGGGGATTTATATGATAACATTCCCTTTTACAATATATAAGAATTTCAAAATTAAAATTAACCTTTTAATAAGTTATTCTCAGTGCATCTATGGCCACAATTTGAGATAAGGAGTGTGCCACTGGATTTGTCATTTGACTTCCAACATGACATTGAAATGAAGCATTAGGGTGCTCTGTAACAGAGTAGAGCAGACCCCCTTCCGCCTTTATTTGCTTCCCATAACCACACATTTAGAAAAGTTTCTTAATTCCGCTGCCAATTGTCTAATGAGGAGATAAAAACTACATCAGATTAGAGCCTTTGCCTGAAGCAGCTTCAATGTGTTCTCTCATTTTGAAACTCAAGCTTAAAATTGCTGTGGAAGGCCTATACCTAGTTCTGACTGCTGAACTGAGGGTTACAGATATGCCAGAAAACTCCTGAACATCTTACTAATACTAGAATACAGCATGCTGCTAGCAATGGGAAAAGGATTGCATGATTTTACAAGCGGGTTGGAATTTGGAAGTTTGTACCCAAATTTGCCTAATGCTATGATGGTCATGTAAAATCGTACAGTTTTATAACTCTGGATAAACACACGATGTGGGGGGAAATGACATTAAATTGCATTTGATAGTTATTTTGGGGGAGGGAGAGATTTTTTCTTAGAGGGCGTGTGCACCTGCCAGAGAGATAGAAAAGAAATCATCCCCCAGGGGCCTGGCCACTGTACAATCCCTTCTTCTCTGTTCTCTCCCTGGATCTTGGGTACACACGCTCACATGCTGAGTGTGAGTTTGAAGCCCACAGGTCAGGGCTTCAAACTGTGGTCAGCCATGTGGGAGCCTAGTGACGTAACTGCTACAGCCATCTCCTGGCCCTCATTTGATAGTTTTAACATGTCGTTTGACACCCATTGAAGTCATTCCTATCTACTCTGCTTGTGTAACATGACACACACCAGTAGTGTGTTATCCTCAGGACCACTTAACGTTGTGCCTTTTATGTGGGGTCCACAGAAAACATTTCTTGAACAAATATGTGTTATAGAATTGTTTTACCTATTTAGTAAGGCACTCAGATATTTTAAATAATATATGTCAATTCAGAAAAACAGTTCTCCCCTTCCCTTTGATTCGGTTTTGGGAAAGATTTCGAGTAATCCTTATCTCATCCTGCAAATACTCTTTCTCATTTCTTAGGTCTCAAAGAAGCTTTCGCTAGTATCTACCCAAATTAATTTCCTTTGTCTCTTGTCATTATTTCTCATGCTATCCTGCCTGTTTCCATCATTAACATATATGTCTGTTTCTTGAAGGTATGCCTCTCGGTTAGACTTTAACTTTTTATTTTTGACAGATTTTTGCTATAGGGCATGTGCTCACCAGAGAGAGAAAGAGAGAGAAAGCGAAAAATTACCCCTCCCCACCAGAGGAGATAGCCATGCCACAATCTCTTCTACCCCATTCTCCTCTCGGATTTTGGGCACGCACACACATGCGCCCAGAATGAGTTTTAAGCTGCTAGCTCCAGGACTCGAAATGTAGTCAGCCATGTGGGAGTCCAGAGACGTACCCATTCAGCCATCTGCTGGTCCCCTAGAGTTTAGCTTTTAAGTGAGTCTGGGTTTGTCCATTTTGCTTGCTACTCCATGCTTAGCCCCTGGCCAATGCCTAGCTCAAACTAGTATGTCATGAGTTGAATGAAAGAATAAGTGGAACCGTGGGGTCCATCTAATCAGCTCTCTCAGCCCTCAACTTTTCCTCAGAGTAGATAATACGACATACGTAGTTAGAGACACCTGAGGTCTGTTTTCTGGTGATCAGATTAAGCTTTTTACAAGTTGGCAGACTACTGGTTTGAATGCATTTCTTCATCATGAAATGGAGCGAAAGATATTTAACCAAAAGGAAAGTTGTGAGAATCCGAGGAAGTCACGAATGTGAAAACACTTTTGATACTGGAACGTGCTCTGCTTCGCTTCTTAGCACTTTCCACGAGTTTATGCCACAAGCATTGACTATACAGAACAGTGAATGGTGAGGCAGTAAGTGAATTTAAGGTCAAGTTGGCATACATGATCCACAAAAGTCACTTGGTATCGAAGCGCAGGATGCTTTCAGTGAGTTGGACAATTAGATTCAGTGGTGTGGAAAGGTAGCCTTGAAGTTAAAAGCCGGATATCCCGATTTATCAAGTAATTCTGAAACTTCAGTCCGTGTATTTATACCTTTCGTTTTTCTCATGTGCAAATTCGAAGTTTTTACATATTAAAATGATACCAGCACTTTATGAACCATCCTGTGCACGATCCTTCCAGGAGGAAAGAAATTGAAAACACACTGTATTTATCTCTGTGAATCTGTTTTTATAGGATATTCTGCTTCATCACAGTTTTCCTCCTTGCTTATTTATTACTAGCCACATTTGCATGGAAACAATGTTTTATTTCCTGAGAGTTCATCTGTGCCTGTAGTTTATTCCCCACCTAAAGTCATCATTCTTTGTTAGCGACACCCTGATTGTTCGCTGGGTAAATGATTATGATGTTGCAAACAAGATCATGACTTCAGCTGGGGGATAACCAGCAGGCATAGATGAACTCTAGAGAAATAAAGATCCTCCTCTTTCAATGCAAATGTCTTCCATAGTTAAGGAAAAGGAGAGGGTATTCTTAATGGCCTCCTCCATAAGGTGACAATTATGTTTAAAATGAAAAAATATTAATGGACCGATAAGGTTTCTTTTTTTTTTTCAAATTCATATAGGACAACCATTATGGAAGCAGAGTTCTGGAAGGACTCTCTGTGCTCTTATTTCTCCCAGAGGGCAGCAATATGCTTATTGCTTCTTCTCCAGGAACAAACAACCACAACAAAACAGCCCACGTTTTAAATACAAATGTTTTTAGAGATTTCTAAGGGAGAAAAAGTACTTAATGTATAAGTAATTAAGCCTTATATATTCAATATTAAGTATGGACATAGTTTAGGATAAATCTTCACACAATTTTATATTCTTAATGTAA